GCATACAAAATCTGTAAAAATACAGCACTGCACTACATCAGAGAGAACAGGGAAAAGATGGGGAAAGACTAACAGACAAAAAGAAAACAGAGATGCCAAGGTAGAGTCAACTGATATTCTACTTCTTAAAGGTTACCAATATGCTTATTAAAAGGTTTATTACATGCCAAAGGATAATAATGCAGATATCCTACAGGAATTTTTCTACCTAAAATAAAGTGTTCACATGGGCCAGTAAATAACAGATTCTGTCCAGGAATTTATGATTATTTTCAAATTATCAGATTTTAAATCCAGACCTTGAGCAAAAAGTTCCAAAAGCTTTACTAATGTAAAACTGAAATGTAAAGGAATGCAATTTTATTTTGTCTACATAAAATTAACTGCTTCTAAAGTAACTAAGCACTGACACTAATAGAATTTTCAATGTTTTACTCTGGCAGTAGAGTCTGTATGACAAGATTTTTGAAGAGATCCACAGGAGTCCAGCATCTCCAAATATGGGATTACTCTTTGAGAAAGTCAGTCACTTAACCAAACAATTGCTGTTCAGGGTCCTGAATCACAACTGCCAATGCAACTAATTTACACAAATCAAGATTAGCTAGGATGGAAAAAAAAAAATTTAGTAAGACATTCAAGCTATTGCCCAAAGCTAGAAAACTGAGCTATTCAGATTTCCATGGGCCAGGGAACGCTGGTGTTTTCTCAGCAACATTAATTTTCATTGGAGAACAATGAATATATTGAAAAAGTCAGAGAGAGCATTTACCTTCAGAGCTTCTTCATATTCCTCTAAAGAAAAAGAGAAAAATGTGAATTTTCCCTATCTCAAACAGATACAAATTTAGCACAGAGTATTTAGGGAGTCTTACACCACAAGGAGTCTCCATTACCTTCTGTAAATTCTTTTAAAGTAGTGCTACTGAAAGAAAAAAATTGTATATACAGCAACAAGCACACCTCCTCACAGCTAAGAGCTGCAGCATTCCATTAATTTAGCCATATCCAATTTGTTCCTACAGATCAAAAACTCCTTCCTTTGGGAAGAATTCGATGCCCAATGATATATAAAATACAAAAATCAAAAAGCAAGCACTCTCAAGTGCTTCTCCAAAAACCACAAACAACAGTTGGGGTCTGTTTCTTGATTTCCCTTCAATAAAGCAGCAGCTCACCTTTGCTATTCACAGAGACCTGCAAAGAAAAATAACAGTGAGTGAGAGCCACAGCCACATTTTTGCAATTCTCTTAAAATTACCACACTTCCAGAATAAAAGCACTTTTATTTGGAGTTTCCAAAACACCACTCCAAATACAGATACTCATTTATCCATTCTGCACACAGAAGTTACCAATACAAGAAGCTATTTAATGCCTACAGCATTGCCTGATTCTGAACAGGGTTTAGTCAGTTTGACCAGTATTTCAAAGAGAGCTTTCACAGATGCATCTCTATATTTATATAAGATACAGGCTAGAAAATAAGGGGAGAATCTTTCCCTGAAAGGTTGCTGGGACCATCTTGACATTTCCCCTCAGGGGAAAAAAAAAAAAAACTACAGGGACTCCATCTCTGCAATTTAGTAGAGCCATAACCTAAGCAGTGGAACGTGGGGTTTGCAAAAGGTCTGTTGTGTCTAAGAGTTACATTTTCCCCTGAACCTCTAGACAAACAGAAAGAACACCAGAGGGTGAGGCTGTGCCAAGCAGGAAGTTACTCAACAAGGACAACTAAAAGTAACCAATTTGTTTTCTGAGTCAGTAATCTGCTTGGAGATTACAGCAATTGCATAAAGCAAGCAGAGGATTTGAGCACACCAGATCACTGAAGCAAACACATGCTAATGACAGGGGACCTACATTTTCCAGAGGAAGGAGTGTAGATTGAAGAGCCAGGGCTTTACCGTGGCTGCAAACACCAATAGTTACAACTAACTTATTCTCAGAAAAAGAAAAATCATGTTCCTCAACAGAAACATCCCTCCCTCAGAGCACACAGAACCACTGGCTGTTTCAATGGGGTGGGGAAAAGAAAGGCAGCAGCTTCTAAAAAAGTATTTTAAAATATGTATGCTGCATTAAGAGTAAAACCAGACTAACAGCTATTTTCTTATTAAAGGGACAAACCACCCCCATCCCCTGATCTGCATAACAGATGCTCCTGAAGGACCCACTACAAATTACTGTGAGGCAGAAAAGGTTCCCAGCAGTCATTTTCTGGTTGAGCTGTTGGGAGGGCAGGCTGGTAGGTATTTTACCTCATCATTGTCCTCATCAATGTATTTGATCTGAATGTTGTCCAGGTCAAATGAAACTTTAACCTGTAATGAAAAAAAATGAACACAAAACCACAATGAGACAGGACCACAGGTTAAACATGATTATTAATCAGGAGTAATACTATAACCCTCCCACCCCTCACTTCAGTTCCCCAGCTGAAGGAAAGACTGGTTTACAAAATCCATTCCACTGAAGTTGAACCACTCTCCCCGGTGCCTTCCCTCCAACAGTTACTGACTTTCCCTAATGTAAAGAATAAATTCATTTCTTTCACGTTGCACCTTCCCTGGTTAATGTTTACTCCAAAACAAACAATAATAACCTTCCCATTCTGAGAGGACAAGCTCAGGGTTAATAAACTCAGTCATAGTAAACACTGCCAAATGTGAAGGCTGAGGCCAACAGTCCCCAAACACTACCTTTTACATTGAAAAGCACCTGGAATGCAGCTCACACAGGTGATCAGCCTTTTTTTAGCCTATCAGAATTTGGAGGACAAAGTTGAGCAGCTATTTTGCATTTTACATTAGCAGGGCAGAGTGAACAGCACCAAATGAACCATAAATGAAGGCAGATGTTTCCATATGCTGGGCAAGTCTCCACAGCACAGTTTGTAGCAGGTACCTACACAAGCTGCATCTTTCCCAGCAGAAACTCTCTGAAAGACTTGACATGTTCTGGCAGCTCAGCCCTAACAGAACACCTCAGCTGACAGAGGCTGTTGGGACTTACACAGCACCACTGGAGCACAGGGACACAGCCAAACACATTCTGCAATGGACATGCTACTGCAGGCAGGCCCTTCCAGCAACATATCCCAAATTTTGGGACTGCAGTGAGAGAACAGACTCAGCTTATCAAGAAGAAACTGTGGTCTGTACCCACACTGTGTAGTACCACAGATTGTTCCCCTAAAACTCAAACTAGAATGAGAGATCGGGTTATCCCTTAGAAACACATCCAATAAAATAATAAAACATAGGAAAGACAGAGTTTATCTGATACTCTCTTCAAACAGTAATTCACACAACAGAGAGAACCCACGGTATTATCCTGGTTAGGGAAGCATTATTGTAATAGAACACCACACCTTGAACAAACACACCCTTGCTCTCAGACTACCTAAGATTAAGGGCAACACGGTGCTTACACACTAATCTGCTTCCAGCTTTGATGCAAGCAGGATTCTGACTGGCTCAGACATTCCTGCAGGGTCTACTGGCCACTAAGTACTTTAAGACTGAACCAGTGCCTCTTCCAGAGGACTGAAACACAACAAGTGAAGATGCTACATTTCAAGCTTTGAACTTGAGTAATTCACAAAGAGCCTCCTACACTCTGGAAAATGGTAGCTAGAAGAGCTGAAAGAGAGAAAATAAAATAGTGACAAAACCTCTTAAGGTACAACTTTAAAAGTAAGCTAAAAACCAGAACAGGTGTTACAGATTGAATAATAATTTAAAAAAAAAAAACACATTAGCTTCATAACAGCCAAGGGAATGCTTACAACTCAATTTTAGCCTCAGCCAGGAATTTTCACAAAACAGCCCTAAAAACAAACATCCAAACAAAAACTTTTGACTATACCAAGAGCATACACAGACCTTCATAAGCAACTGCCTACCCACACGTGGCCCAGTCAGACACTGTTCTGCCCAAACTGGCACACACAGAGCTCCTGGAAGCAAGGGGCCAAAAACGTATGAGTGATTCGGTACCCCAGAAAGCACAGACGCATCTTCAGAAAAGCAACAGACACGCGTTACCTCACAATAACTACTTCAATGAGTAAAAGAATGGCAGATAAGAGGAACAGAGTGTACTTTACAGAGGGGTACAAGGGCAAAACCAACCGTCCATACCTGTGGAAATGGGCAAAGAACACAACTAAAGCCACCTGCTCGCACAGGAAGAAAAAAGGGACCCATAAGAATCTTTTTCCGAAACAGGTTTTTCGGGTCACTCTAAGCACAAAGCAGGAGTTAAAGGCTAAAAGAAAACCCAAGATTGCAGCAGTACGAACCACCAGTGCTGAGAGCCTGGGAAACGGGGGACAGGGCTTTGGAAGGCGCGGGAGAAGATGCCGGGCCCTCGGAGAGCCGCTGGCACGGTCAGCATCTCACCGCGGCTGTGACCCCCCCTTCCCCACCTCCCGCGGCCGGGCCGCGCTCACCATGGCCTCCACATCGGCCCACGTCGTGTGCGCCGGGTCCGACACGACGAAGCTGCGGGTGTCGCCGCGGCAGGAGACGCGGAGGGTCACCGGGGGCTCCATCGCGCGCTCCCGCGGGCCCAGGGGCAGCGCCGGCCGCCGGCCCGACCAGCCCAACATGGCGGCCCGAAGGGTGGTCGGCCCCCCCACGCCCTCCGCGCAGCGCTATTGGCTGTCCCGCCTGTCACTCATCCTGCTCGCCAACCCGGTTGGCCGGAGGGGCGGGGCCTGGCGCCGCGGAACCACAACAATAAACACAGCCGGGCACGCGCGCGCAGCAACAACACGCACCCGCGCCTGCGCCGCCGCGCCTGCTGCGCGCGCCGCCGAAATCCGACGGCGGGGGGTCGGGCGGAAGCGCCAGACCCAATCAGACGCGGCCGGCCCTACCCGGCCCCGCCCCCCGCGGCGGAAGGAGCCTATAAGAGGGCGCTGCGCAGCCAAGTGCCCGCGCTGCCGGAGCTGATTGGCTGCGCGTGGAGCGGTGGAAAGGGCGCGAAATGCGGCGCTCGGGGCGGCGCTGAGGGACGGGACCGGGACCGGGACTGTCACCGTCACCGTCACCGTCGGGCTGGCACAACTGCACCGGCCCCGCCTGGGCCCCGGCGGCCGTGAAAGCCACCATTCGTGCCCCCCGTGCGGGCGGCCGGAGCGAGTGCAGGGAGCTGGGTGCTGGGACGCTTCGCATCGGCCTGCGGACTGCAAGGGCCCCCCGGCCCGCCAGCTGCCGCTGCGGTAAGCTCGTATGGTTTCTTTTTGTTTTCAGGTACTTGCGGCGTCTGATTCGGGGTCTCACCTCTGTTGAAAGAATCTTAGATGATGCAGGACATATACTGCTTCAGGCCTGCTTGCACAATCCAGCCTGTGTGCTGGACGGCAGGGACCTGTGTTCTCCAGCAGCAGATCTGTGTCCTTGAGCAGCAGATATCAGAAAGCTGCATAGAGGAAAACAGGGAAGGAGGTTGTTATCCAGAGTGTGAGAAACCAGAAGATGGGGGGACCTGGAAATGTGCCTTTGCTTGTAGAGCCAATAAAGTTATAGATATAGTGTGTGAAAGTAAATGTAACCAGTAGAAAGTTAGAATAGAGAATGTGAACCCTGTAGGACCCTTGATAATGTGTGTATTTTTGGAATAAAGGAGAACATTGACTGTACCTCGATGAGGATGTGTCTTTGACTCTCGAGCTCATTTTTTGCACACCTCTGCCGGCTCCTGTAGGTAGGCCCAGGGTCCTTTGCATAAGCACCTCTGCCGTCTCCTCTGCATCCTTTTCCACCTAGAACGCCCCCTTTTTCCGCTGTTTTGTGCTCTGCGCCCAGAGTTTCCACTGAAAGCCGCAGTAAACCCCTTCCGGTCTCTCCTTTAGCTACAGGACACTTGAGAGGCTTTAACTGCCAGCGTTCAGAGTAAGAACTCGTAAACTCTTACTCAAGAAGCAGTAGTGAAGTATTTGATACCATTCCCCAAGTTGGAGAGAGCCATGCGGGAGGAGGTGGTCACGGGATGCAGTAGAGCAGAAACAAAGCTGATTATTATTTATTTATTTTCTCTAGACTGTTTTTGGACCTGAGGGATGGACTTCTCAGTGGTTACTGTTGGCCACGTGCAAAATGTGCTTTCAGCTATGCAGAAGAACTTGGAGTGCCCCATATGGTATGCCCAGCAGTAATACCAGTATGGTTAAGGAGTGGTTTGGGGTTTTATTTCCCCCCCCCCTTTCTTTGCAATTGGTTTGTCAGTTCAACGACTTATGAGAAATCAAAGGGATTCTTGTGAAGACTGTGTGTGTTGATGTTTTGTAAGGCTGAAGTGACAAAGTGTAAGACAGAACGTGTGTTTTGCTTTTATGTTCTAGTAAATTTTGTTTTTCTCTTACAAACTGAATATGTCAGTCCTCTATTCAGAGAGGGGAAAAACATTATCTGATTGGATTAGAGTATTGTTTGTAAAGCAGTGTGGATCTTTGCCCTTTGTCTCTGAAAAGCCAGTGAGGTCTGTAGTTCAGCAAACAAATGCTGAAATAGCAAAGGTTCTGCTTAGAGGATGGATCCCTACAGTGTCTGTAGCTTCTTTTTTCATTCTGTTTCCATTTTTCTTTTTGTAGCTTGGATGTGGTGCAAGAGCCAGTTTCAACAAAATGTGATCACATATTCTGCAGGTAGGTTTGAAGAGTGCAATACTTAATCAGTCTGTTTTTAATTTCCATGTATACTTCTTCAGTTCTTGTCCTGTATTTATACTGTGTTTTGGGAACTTCTTGTGTAGCTACTTTAGAGGAAAAATCAGTTTTAAGAAAAATAATCTCCTCCTTTTGTTTCCATCAAGACTATTATTTTTTCCTAGGTTCTGCATGTTCAAACTTCTCAGCAAAAAGAAAAAAGGTGTGATACAGTGTCCTCTGTGTAAGACTGAAGTTACCAAGAGGTGGGAAACCTGTCTTTGTAAGGGGACTTGAGAATGAGAGGTTTGAGCTGTGAGGAAAGGCTAACAGTTGTCTTAAAATGTCTCAGCATAAGACTAAAATAAAGAAGAAAAGGTGGTTATTAAATAAACTTTCTATGTCTAAAGGAGTAACTAATACCTTACCTCAGTGTAAGCTTTTTCCAAGTGATTGCAGAGATAACAAATGTTTGTGCTGTATTAGTGTTCAATCATTACAACTCTACTAAACCTACCTGGGGAAAAATATGAAATGTTCACTTTTGTGATAGTTTTAATTCAATGGCAGTGGTTGTTTGGGGGAACTGTGTTATTATTCCTTGGCAACAACTTCTCATTGTCTCATCTTAAACTTTAGAGTTTTACCCCTTGTTTTGTTCAGCCTAAATTCTAAGAGAAGTATTTACAGTCATTTGTCTTAAAACAACTCGAGTTCTGATATTGTTTCAGAAGCCTGAAAGAAAATTCCAGATTTAAGCAACTAATTGAAGGATTGTTGGAAACTATCCATGCTTTTGAGCTTGACACTGGAGTGAAGTGTAAGTGGTGTGAATGTGTGCCCCCAACTTTTTTTTTCAATAAGGTTTTGACGTTTATATCATAATTGCTAAAAGGTATCCCATTTAATGTGCAATACTAAATATGGGAAGAAGTATCAAAAGGTTTTTTTCTTGGGTGTAGAAGCATAAGTTCCATTAAATTTCCAAGATATTTTTAAAAAACCTCCTAAACAGTTTTACTGTGTGTTTGATGACTCCACCCAATCTTATGTTCAGTTTCTGAAAGGTGGCTGAACGTGTATCAAATGTTTAATCTGTAATTGGAAGGTAAAGTTCTGCTCTTGATTATGCCCAGCCTTGCAGCTTTAACTTGTTAAACAATCTCAGAGCCTGAATTAGCAGATGCTGTAGCCATGTATGTTAACCTGTCTTGTTCAGATAGATCCTTTGGGAATCCAAATTTATTCTTTTTAGTACTAAGTGCCTTGTAAAGGGTATTGGCAAGTCAGAGATGTGCCTGTTTATATTTTAATAGACAAGACATTCTGGCTGGGGGCAGATGGTGGTCACTGACTTTTGTTTGGGGGGGGGTTTTGTTATTGTGCTGTGAAAGATACTTTGTTTTCAAATTCTTAACTTGCTCAGCCATTCTAAAATCAGTAGTGTTAGATCCTGTTCTTGCTAGGTTATCTATGTAAGCAAAATTGGTTGAAAAAATTAGTTGGCAAGATCAAGATTTTACTTAAAGTTTTAAGAAAACTCAGAAAAAACAATCAGACTAATAATTCAACAAGATTTCTTTCTTTGTTAATTGTACTGCAGCCATATATGCACTAAGTGCACAGGGTCTGTGCAAGGCTATCTCATTAATATATAAAGCTGTGTCATACTCAGTGTGAAAATTATTTTTTTTTTCCCCCCCCATTAACATTTTTCAGTTTTAAAGAGTCACCACATTCATAAAACACCCACAGAAGCCACTGCTGCTGAGCTCCTGTGTAAAGAAAGTTCTGTCATTCAAAGTAAGGGCTTCAGAAACAGGAGAAAAAGTGCTAAAGAAAATGGGCAAGAAAACACCACCTTGGTAATTGTTTTTTCCCATTTTGTTTTCCTGGGTTGTTTAGAAGTTTATTTGGAATGTATATAGATGCAAATACATAAATTAATGAGGTAGCAGATTGTGGGTTGCTCTGAGATTGCTGTTTGACCTGAATAATACTCTGGTCAGGGCCATTTACATATTTTTGTCTTTCTAACCTACTTGAAAAAGACATTTGCATAAAGAACCTGAACTTATAGATGATATTTCCATATCACAGTCTGTTGCTGAAACTGGGCTTGAAAAGTTGTCTGTCCTGCTTGTTTCATGAGGCTGTCTAACTATTTGTAGGGGGTTTATTTTTTTTAGTGGTGAGATTATGTCTTGGGATACTTAAGGCATTACTCAGCTTGGGGTGATTGTTCTGTGTGTGTGACTGTTTTGGTTCTCACCTGCTTGATGCTGAACAGAATGTTGGATAATACAGAATGTAAGATCAAACTGTTAATGTTTTGATCTGTCAAATGCATGATAATTGTTTCTATTGACACATTCCATTACTGATATCAATATAACAAACTACTTGTGTATTTTTGCATAGAGGCCACCAGTTCATATGACAGAGTACTTCTATCAGCCCTTCCTGCTGTGGTTTAAATAATTACAAGTGAGGGTTTTTAAAATAGCCTGCTGTTATAAATAACTTCATTTCTGTTCTCCTGTCAGCAGGAAACTACTGGGAATACTCAGCTTACAGATACCAGGGCCAAAAGGTGTCACCTCAGAAACAACCCCCAGAAATGTGGCTCTCAGAAAGGGGTTTATGTGGAGCTGGGTAAGATCTGTTGTAGATCCACACGAGTTGATCTTATGTAAAATGCAGTAGCAGCTGTTTCATGTATAAATTTAGAAATTACACACTAATTTTTAGCTAAATAACTCCTGGTAGCTCTCTGTTACCAGTCACTGTATTTAAACAGAATTTTATGCTGGAGGCATGTTGATATTTCTACACAGAAATCATTATAATTAGGTGAAATACTTTATGATTGAACTTGATTTCATCCGATAAAAGTTGAAAGCATCTACCTCTAAGAAGAACTAGGTGTGCATGTGATGATAAACACTGACTCTAGCAAGTCACCTTTCTCTGAATCATTCCAACCAGAGTAACAGCTGATTTGTTTTCAGGTTCTGAATCATCTGAAGAGTTTTTTAAACAGGCAAGCAAAACTGGGTAAGTGAAGGTGATTAAGGAATTCATATCTTCTAAAGACAATAGTTCAGTGTTCTCATTGCTGTGTTTTAGTTCCTTAGCATAGGACTGGTAGAATTCTTAAACTGACAAGTGATTTTCAACTTTGAGGGCATTGGGGTAGAATGGGTAGCTGAATTTTAACACTTTGTCATATTTTGTACTTTAAATGGTTTTCTAAATGTTTTGTTGCTTATGTAGACATTAGTCCTTCAACAGAAAAATAGGTACTGTGCTTTAGAAAGTAAGTGTTAAATTCAGGAATGTGAGAGGGGATCTCTTAAAGATGTGGCCTGAAACTCTGAAGGGATCTAGTTGTGGTGAGTATCAATTATGCAGCCTGACTTCCCCAAGAACTATTTCAGAGAGCAAAAAGGTGAAAATAAGTATAATCTTCTGTTCTGTCTGTTGTGGCTTTCTCTGTAGTAAAAGTAGATATCCTTTCCCAACAGGTTTGAAGACAAAGCTGCAGTTCAGATTTCTTCTCAAGAAAAGCTAGAAGAACCTGAGAGTGTTGAGAAGGGGAATGAAAATTCCTGCAATGCACGACCTGACAAGCTGTGTGCCAAAGAAATAACACTACCAAATGTCATAGGTGTGTCTGTTATTTTGGTGACAAAGATGGCTTAAGCTTGAAAGAAGCACCACAAGTTAATATTTTTATTTCACATTACTAAATATATCTAGATAGATAGATATAAATATAGTTGCAGTCTTGTATGTTGTAGTCCTGCTGATGCCTACGTGACACTGTAATACAAGACTGTTCTGGTTGACTAGATACTTAAAATGTGCATATTTTGTGCACAGGAACAGAAAGGAAAAAAGTAACTTGATCAAAATGCAAAATTTAATTATTCTATGTAAGCCATATTATCCCTTATAGTACAAACAGAGAGCACTGTCTGGTAATTCATATAGGAAGTTAGAAGAACATATGTAATATCTTCCTGCTTTTCTCTAGAGGGAGATGTGTGCAGTCTAATATTCTGGTTTGGGGGGGAAATAAGAACTGTTCTTTTAAAACAAAGTAGCCATCAAGCTTGTTACTGTGTTTGTGTGTGTAAAACAGGGCTTAATAATTTACAATTCTTATAAATCTAACAGGTGAAAGTGATTTCTCGAAGGAAGGCTTGAGCAAGAAAAGCACTCAGAGCATCACTGAATGTGCCAAACCTGACCAAGTGAATATGACTGAATGCCAGAGTTCTCCCTTAAATGTTCTTGCTGCAGATCTACCTCCAGAGCAGTGTGACAGAGTAGGTAATTCCAGTCCCACAGTGAACAGGGGCACATCATTCTTCAAGAACACAGAAGAAACGGATGAAGAGCAGACTCAGTACAAGAGTAAAAACAAAGAGTTTGACTTAAAAGGTAGTTCAGGGAGCAGGCTGGATAAAAGCGAGGAAATGGATACTGGTTTACAAAGTGAGGAAGCTGTGGAGGTGTGTGAACCTGAGAATGACTCTTTCCATGGCAAAGAACTTCCTCAGGAGAAGCTACTTCAGCCAGAGAAGACACTTCCCTCTGCCACCTTGGATCGAGTCTCCAGGAAGAGACTGAAGCGAAGCATTCGGAAAGTCAATGAATGGTTTTCAAAAAGCAACAAGATTCTGTCTTCCAGTTCTTCCCCGGATGATTCTGCTGGAGGAACTGATGTTTCAGGTGAGGGAGATGCATGTTCATCAGATAAAGAATCCTGTATTTCAGAAAATACTGACCCTGTGGTAGATTCCATGGAAATTGCAGTGGTTGAAAGAAACAAGAGATGGTCAAAGCAAACAGCAGATAGCATCAAAGACAAAATATTTGGAAAAACCTACAGAAGAGAGAGGAAATCAAATCGCCCTTCTACCTCCAGAGACATTTTATCTACTACAAAAAAGAAAGATGTGGCTGCTGATAAGTGCTTGAACAATTCCAGCAGAGACAGACCCAAAAGAAAAAGGAAGACTGCCTGTGTCCTGCAACCTGAGGATTTCATCAAGAAAAAAGATACAGAAGAGGCAGATGGAGGCCCTCAAAGTGTGAGCAGATGCCTTGGAGATGCTGGAAAGAAAAGATGTGATGGAAGTGTTGCTGTTAATGAGAGTCACCTCTCTCAGAATAGAGTGGATAATACACTAACAGAACATGAAGAAGGAGGAGGGGCCAGATGGAAAAAAGCTACTGAAAAGGTGACTGGCAAGCAGTGTGATGAGGAGCTAAAAATGTGTGTCAGTGATCAGAAAAGCACTAAAAAAAGTTCTGCAGCAAAAAGATGCAGGCGTTCCACTAGAACCATGTGTGCTCTACAGTTAGCAGTGGATAGAAACTCTGTTTCCCCTGATCCAACTGAGCCCCAGATTGATAGCTATCCAAGCAGTGGAGAGCCCAGGAGAGCTGATTCTGAGCAAAACCAAGTGAGGCGCAGCAGGAGGCTTCAGTTACTTTCTGAAGAAATGAAAGAAATGACAAAAGAAACAGGAAAAGGAGTAATAGCAAAGGGAGCACGAAAGAATGGCAGTGATGGTGGAGGAGCTGTCTTTGGAGACCAAAAGAATGTGGCAACTCAGGCAGCTGAATGCAAAGACCTGCGTGAGCCTCAGGATATGTTGAGCTCTGCGGGAGTCACTAATCTGAAGGGAGGTGATCTGGAAGCAAATGAAATGCAGGTTAGTCTAAAGAGTTTATCTGACACTGCAGAAACTGGAAAAAGTCTCTTCAATCCTGCATCTTCGTGTCAGCCTCCAAACTGTGGTTCCTTTACACCTTATGCAGGTTCTCAAGACAGTGAAATACAAGGTAGCCCTCTCCTCCTGCAGCCTCCTTCAGTGCCTGCTGTGCAAACTGCTTCCCATCAGACTGAAGAGGTGACTGAATCACTTACTGCCTTTCCACAGGAATGTGGGCATGATTCACAAAGTGTTCCAGGGGACTTCAGAACTGAGAAGTTGCCCGTGGCTAAAACTGTTTCGGAATCGACCAAGGAAGCAGAAGACAGTGAATTAGACACACAGTACCTGCGAAATATATTTAGGCATTCGAAACGCTTGTCCTTCAGCCTTTTTGGGGCTCCCAGGCAGACCTGTGCAGTAGAAGATCCTGGTTCTGAAACTTTAAATCCATCACGTGCTGCTCAGGTAGAAAAGAAGTATAGCAAACATTTACAACCAGAAAACTTGCAAGAAGAGAGAGCAGCTGCTGAAAGCTTGAGAAGGGTTTGTGAGAAAGAGAAGCTTGAGGTCTGTGAGTCTGCCTGTGTTGATGATGTGACTTGCACAGGAGAACACAGCCATGCTGTTCCACAGGCTGCAAAGGAAGGGACTCTGACATCAGTGAGAACAGAGACTGCTGGGACTGAGGCCAAAAACCAATCACTAAAAGGACAGCAGGGCAATGAAAAGCCTGTGTCAACTGCCATAGGGATAGAAAGTGAGTTGAGACAGAGTCCAATCAGAAGTAATAGAAGCCAAAGTGATCAGAGTGACATAGAAGAGCATGATTCCAAACAAACCAATGAGATAGGCTTCACTTCAGAAAGCAGTCTGGAAGGAAAGACCAAAGTTGTTGATGACAAAGAACCAGTTCTACATTTTCTATCCGGATCGATGATTTGTCCTGCAGGTTCTCAGCAAGGTCCTGCTGAATTCATTAGGAAAAAAAGTAGCAAAAGCGAAGGAAAACTAATAAAGGGGGATGAAGAACAAGCAACCCAAAGTGGTAGCACAGCAATGGCTGAGGGTGTAGTTGCAGAGGCTCTTAGAGGGAACAGTGATTTTACAGGTTTGTCTGAAACCCCTGATGGCTTACTGGGCTCTGATGCTGATATTGAAGAGAACACCAGCTTTTGTGAAACTGATAGGAGAGAGAAATCTGCGGTGTTTGCAAAAGGAAGCAACAATGCCCTGGGAAAAGAACCTCACAGCAGAAATGTTGGTTCTAAGCCAAGATCTCGAGGTATTCAAAAGTCTCGAAGACGAGCACGGAAACTGCCATCTTCGGACGAAGAATCCTGTGAGGATGAAGACCTGCCATGTTTTCAGACATTAGTACTTGGCAAATCAGTAAGCACACCTCTGCAGACTGATAAACAAGTGACACCTGTGGTAGAGTCTTCAACTAGTCCCAACACGTCGCCTCACAGTGGAAGTAATGGTGACAATATTATGCAGAAAATTCCCGAAGTTGCCCAAGGCAATGTGTGTGTTTCACCAAGCCAGGAGTCAGAATGCTCTGTCAACTTATTTTCTTCCCAGTCCATGTCTGAAGAATCAGTTAATGGAGCACAAGAGCTGGAGAAACTTTTGCTGCAAGTTGATGAATCCAAACAAGTGACCGGCGTGAATGAGAGCAAGGAAACTTTTCAGAGTTGTAATGGAAGGCTGAAGAGGACCAAAACTGGCTTCAAAGATGAATACCAAGAAGACCCAAACATGGGAGCAAACCTAGGTACAAACCAAGATTTTCATCTTTGCAGCTGTGTTTGTAATGTCATTACACACGGGGTTTTTGGTGTTTGCATGGGAACTTTGTTCTGTATTTATGAGGTGCTTGCTCTCCAAAGGAATGTGTCAGTTAAACAATCAAACAAAAAGCCCTCAGTGGTTTATTTCCTGAAAATTATGTTCTTCCAGTCTTCTTTGTTCAGAGCACAAATGGATAGGCTGACACTAGAGGCTGTCTGATGGGACATTAATTTTTGAGGGATATTGCAATGTGATACTTGCATTGTCAGCAAAATTTCATACAGCCCACCTGAGCTTTTCACCCACATGAGATGTTTGTTGAAATTGGCTGTAGAATTTTGTGGCAAATATTATGACATTTTTATGGCTTTCATAAATGTTTAGGACTCTCTTATCACTGTTGACACACTGAGTTCTGTTTACTTTGCCATGTGTGTGACATGGTATTCTTTGAAATGTTCACTTAGAGTAAATCTGTGCTTCTCATTTCAATATTTTCAAAACTTGTTGCTTTAGCATTATAGTTAGTAGTTCTCTAAAAGATCTGTGTAGTAAGGGATTATATATAATGTTGATTAGTTAGTTGTATCTTGGTGGCTTTTTTTTT